GCGAAAATGTTGCGGTTTTCCCAACTCCGCAGTCAAAGTCAGTTGACATTTTGTAGGGAAATAAACGTTGTCACATTGGCCAGGGGCATCGAGTATCTATGTATTCTGTGTTTCTGAAATTGTCAGAACAGCAAACAGTCCAATACCGGTGATACGGGAAAAGCCGCGTCGGCTCAAAAACTAAGCAAAACCAACACGTTGCATTTATCTCATTTTGTAGAAGACACGTCGGACTATCTGTCTACGTAGCCGCAAAATGATAGAGAATTCGCAATCGATTGTTAACTGACCTAGATGGTGATCTAAACTATTCAGAATATAACAGAGAATTCGCAACCGAACCTCACCTAACCTAGATGGTGAACTACACTCGTCAGAATAAAATAGAGAATTCGCCATCGATGGGTACCTGACGAGATCATGGAAAATTCGCATTCGCGGCGAAGTTAGTGTTTCTTAACTACTTCGTTCGGTATGCAACATGTCTTCATGGTGGCTATAGATGTACAATGTTTATTTCACCAATAGTCACGATATAATAAAGAATTCGCACACGATTTTGAGTTGAACTACTGGGAGAAAGCAATAAACATTGTATGTCCTTAACCACCATGAAGTCATGTTGCTTACCGAACGAAGTAGGTTAGAAAAACTGACTTCGCCGCGAATGCGGGTTTTTGTGATTTCCTTAAAGTTCTTAGCCACTCAATACACATGAAAATGCTTGATTTGCAAAAATCTGAATTTCCATGATGCTCAAATTCTCAAAATCTAACCTTCGCGTGTAATTCCCGAGTTGCAAGATTTTGATTTCGAAGAATTCGGAAATTCTTCTCACTATACGTCAAAATTCCGGAGTTGCACCGTTTTGATTTTAAAGAATTCTCAAACCGTCAAATTCTTAACATCTCATTATGCAGAAAAATTCACGGTTTCAGCCAAATTCTGGATTTGCAGTATTTTGAATTTGCGGCATTCTCAAAATCCTTTGATTCGTAAAATTCTCAATATACAGCGGACTTCTCGGTTTCCAACATTTTGAATTCGCAGCATTATCAAATTCTGAAAGTATAAGCTTCGCAATATGCAGGAAAATTCCCGATTTGCATAATTTTGAATCTGCAGAATACTCAAATTCTCGAATTCGCAACTTCTCGATATACAGCAAAATTCTAGATTTGCAAAACTTTGAACTTCCCGAATTCTATAATTCTCAGAATCTAACCCTCCCGAGTAATTCTGGAATTGCAATATTTTGAATTGGCGGAATTCTGAAAATTCTTTAATTCGCAAAATTCTCAATATACAGCAGAATTCTCGGTTTCCAACATTTTCAATTCGCAGAATTCTCAAATTCTCAAATCCTCAACTTCTCACTATACATCCAAATTGTCAATTTGCAACATTTTGATTCTGAAGAATTCTCAAATTCTCAAAACGTAAGCTTCGCAATATGGGGCAAAATTCCCGATTTGCATAATTTTGAATCTGCAGAATACTCAAATTCTCGAATTCGCAACTTCTCGATATACAGCAAAATTCTAGATTTGCAAAACTTTGAATTTCCAGAATTCTATAATTCTCCCAATCTAACCTTCCCGAGCACTTCTCGAGTTGCAATATTTTGAATTTGCCGAATTATCAAATTCTCAAATTCTCACCTTCTCACTATACATCCAAACTGTCAATTTACAACATTTTGATTTTGAAGAATTCTCACCTTCACAATCTGCAGAAAAATTCTCGATTTCCCATATTCTGAATTTGGAGAATTTCCAAAATTCTCAAATTGTTAAAATTCTCAACTACTCAATACACATAAAAATGCTCGATTTGCAACATTTTGTTTCTGAAGAATTCTCAAATTCTCAACTTCTAAATATACAACAAAATTCTAGATTTGCAAAACTTTGAATTTCTAGAATTCTATAATTCTCCCAATCTAACCTTCCCGAGTATTTCTCGAGTTGCAATATTTTGAATTCGCAGAATTGTCAAATTCTCAAATTCTCACCTTCTCACTATAAGATCGTCTGGCCAGAATTCAAGTCTCAGACATGGCACATAATCTGCATCTCCACCAAAAGGATTATGCTGGTCGTGTGCACTCGAATATACATCTCTCATTGCATCCAATACAGGTAAATAACTTCGATATCTGAAGTAAAACTCTAACACGGCTGCTTCGATCTTTTTTCTTAAATCATTCGGTAAACGATAACCAAATAGAGGACTAATAATTGAGAAAAGATCTTCATATAGTTTTTTTTCAGTGAAAACATCATATATCCCATGACCAAGGACATTTTGCAAGGATGCAACAACCTGTTGTCTTCCAAAATCGACCTCAGTCTCTGCAAATTCTTTAAATCTCTTCATTACTTCATCATCGCTTTATGTGTGACTGTGGAAGAGGATTTATATAATCTAAGAACAGATTAAAAGAATCCAGCATTTCAGCATAATTAAGTTGTGCAGTAGCTTCTACACTAGCCAGTGATGGTCCGGTTACATAAGTACGCAAATCGGAAATGGTATTTCCAAAAGTGCAACTTGATTTGATATTATTTAATATAATCTCTTTAATTTTCGTAGCATTGATATATTCGTTTTCAGTTGGTAGTGGATGTAAAGATTTAATGAGTCTAGCTGGATAATCAATTGAATATTTAAGTTGAACTGTTTCTTCACAAGACAGAACACGAACAAAACCTGGTACATTAGGAATTGACTCTAAGGAATCCATCGATGATATCAAACCAATTTCAATCATTATATCAAAGTCTTGACATCTCTTATCATGTCGAAAATGATTTGCATCTGATTGTCCTTCTTTTGAACTGCCAGAGACAAACATTTTGTACGGTTCTCCCATAGTTCTTTTCCTGATGCTGCTTTCCTTTTTCTCTTTCACAGTCACAGAGGTAAAAAGACTATAAAACTTTATCTTCTTTTTGAATGAGTATAACAGAAACGAAAGAATTTATCTTTTCTCCACAACTTTTGTTCTGTTCCTTTTCTTGACGTTGAATGGTATAATGCAAAAAAAGAAACGATATCTCGATGGTGAAGTTTTTAGCTCTTCTCGATTATATTTACGACAATAAAATCTATTCAGTTCTTTGCAGCGTACTTCTCCGCAGATTATAAATATATCGGGCTTGATCCACAGCGAAAAGCTATGAGGACATTTGGGGATAAAACAATAAAAGTGAAACTTTTCTTCCCTGCATTTTTACATATACTCTTCCAATGACCGAAAGGACTTTGGTTCTATCATCAAAATTTCAATAGAATGCAGGTCAAAACAACTCTTTATATTTTTTGAATGCAAAATGTTAGTTATCTGCGCTTTTCACCATTGAAAGAGAACCTTAGGGCACAGAAGTCTATGTCGGAAGCAGAATTTTCAATGTGTTTTCACAGCTGAGTTTAGCGGACAAAAATAGGGAAAAATAGCCTGTCTTCAGATAAAATTTAAGTTCCTCTGTCGCTGAGTATTTTCCAAATAAGGGCTTTTAGCTAAGTGGGATTGAAGGTGTTTAAAGCTGAGTGAATCTTTCAAAAAATATTGTTCTAAATTTCAGTCTGCCAGCCATTGATCTGAAAAACGCTTAGAACGCGAGATATAAATTTGCCATACAAGGAGAGAGAAACTTTAAATTTAAAAGACCCCGTTAGGTGAAAAAGTTTTGTCTTTTAAAATGTGATCAATGACTAAAATACAAGATCTTGAAATACACGGCTTCTCAACTTAGACTTCTATGCATTCTGCACTTCTCTGAGATAATGTCTGTAGGTAGCGTATGTTTCTATGATTGCAACTACAATAATGG